TTTTGGAGCAATCTGTAGCACTTATATGTTGATCAATACCGTAAAACTAAAGTCAGCTTTAAATAGGAGATCTAGCCTCTCATAATTTCAGTAAGGAAAAAAGGTTAACATGCATATATTTACATATTCTTGAAAACTCTCTGGATATCATATGTGCCCACAACTTTCAGCAAAACTGTATTTACAAGATACCCAAAATTATGAACTAGTTTAGGTATACCATGTATTACTGTTGTGATGATGTACTACATCACACCCATTAGATCCACTACTGGTTTACCAAAGACATCTATTTTTAAAGTTCGGAATATATTAAATCTGTTACTTTTGGATATAACATATAACATATTACATAATAGAAAAGACAAAAAAATAATGGCACGGGAAATACATGAGATAATCTGCTTCATGCTTTAGTGCTGTTTGCATTGTTTTATTCAGATTCATTCATTTATTTTTTTATTTACAATATTTTTGTATATAGATATATTTTAAGACTTATTTACTGTTTAGGCTGACTGACTTTTCCTCAGGGCTTGAGTCCTTTTAGAATAATGAATATCTTTGTGATCGAAATCGTTTAGCCAGTTGAATGTACAGTATCATACATGCTATATGTAAATTGATTCATATGGATATCTCAGAAGCATAAGGCTGTGCCTCTTCCTAACAGGTTTGATACATCTATAGGCACCAGTTATTTATCCGCACAGTGTGATGATGCTTAGAGTGATTTTATGTGCACTGTCGACTGTGATTTAGTGCTATTATTTTTTTTACACACTGAGTCAATTAATATGTGCACCTGAACTCACTTATTTACCAGTCCTTGAATTTTTGGAGGGAGGGAGAGTGGAAGAGTGGAAGAGAGGGAGAGAGGAAGAGTAGAAAGCTGGAAGACAGGAAGAGTTGAAGAGATGGAGAAAAAAGAGAAGAGAGAGAGAAAAGAGAATAGAAGAGAGGGAGAGAAAAGAGGGAGGGAGAAGGGGAGAGAGGAAGAAAGAAGAGAGGGATAGGAATACAAGAGAGGAAAGGAGAAGGGGAGAGGGGGAGAGAGAAGGAGAGGGAAAGAGAGGGAGAGGAGTAGAGAGGGAAGGAGAGTGGGAGGAAGAGGGAAGGAGAGAGGGAGGAAGAGGGAAGGAGAGAGGGAAGGAGAGAGGGAGGAAGAGGGAAGGAGAGAGGGAGGAAGAGGGAAGGAGAGAGGGAGGAAGAGGGAAGGAGAGAGGGAGGAAAAGGGAAGAAGAGAGGGAGGAAGAGGGAAGGAGAGAGGGAGGAAGAGGGAAGGAGAGAGGGAGGAAGAGGGAAGGAGAGAGGGAGGAAGAGGGAAGAAGAGAGGGAAGGAGAGAGGGAGGAAGAGGGAAGGAGAGAGGGAGGAAGAGGGAAGGAGAGAGGGAGGAAGAGGGAAGGAGAGAGGGAGGAAGAGGGAAGGAGAGAGGGAGGAAGAGGGAAGGAGAGAGGGAGGAAGAGGGAAGGAGAGAGGGAGGAAGAGGGAAGGAGAGAGGGAAGGAGAGAGGGAGGAAGAGGGAAGGAAAGAGAGCAGGAGACTGGGGGGAGAGAGATGGAGACTGGAGGGAGAGAATAGGAGACTAGGGGAGAGAGAGAGGGAGACTGGGGGAGAGAGAGGGAGAGTGGGGGAGAGAGAAGAAGACTGGGGTAGAGAGAAGGAGAGGGAAGGAGAGAGGGATGAAGAGGGAAGGAGAGATGGATGGAGAGGGGGAGAGAGGGAGAGGGGGAGAGAGGGATGGAGAGGGGGAGAGAGGGATGGAGAGGGGGAGAGAGGGATGGAGAGGGAGAGAGAGAGGGATGGAGAGGGAGAGAGAAAGAGAAAGAGAGAAAGAGAAAGAGAGAAAGAAAGAGAAAGATAGTTAGAGAGAGAGATAGTTAGAGAGAGAGATGGTTGGAGAGAGATGGTTGGAGAGAGAGATGGTTGGAGAGAGAGATGGTTGGAGAGAATGATCGTTGGAGAGAGTGATCATTGGAGAGAGAGATGGTTGGAGAGAGAGATGGTTGGAGAGAGAGATGGTTGGAGAGATAGATGGTTGGAGAGTGTAATGTACTTGTGGAATTCCTCTCTCTCCTTTCTCTGTGTGGATGGTACTGCCGTTTGTTTGCTGAAGTGTCGTGGTGTTGGAGTTAAAGTTGTCGCAGCTTCAAATACTTTTATTTGCACGGGATATGGTAGGTGGTGTACAGAGGTCAGGCGTGGCAGAGTCACCCAAGGAGGAGCGAGGCCTCGTGCCACGCCCGCAGGCGAGCGGTCTCGAGAGAGAGCTGGAACTTGAGGTGTTGACCGAGCCGATGCTGAGGGCAGAGTGACTTCGGCTCTCCGAGATTTCAAATGGTTCACAAAATATTCACTAACACAATAATATGGCAACATTGTTCTTTTGTGGGAAATGTCAGTACAGGCTCTCTGGTTTACAACAGGGTAAGGGTCTTGTGGTCATAGGTCTGGTCAGTTACACTGGGTATGACAATACAATTAAATCATAAACACTGAATAACTACAGTATCGACAACAATAATGATTACAAACATAGTGATTGAGAACAAGGAATTTTTGAAAAACATTTTGAGTATAATCACAATATAAGTTCACTTGTAGTTACGAAGTATTTAACAATAAGGGTCGGATTTGCTTGCTCTGTGGGCACTCCACTATTGTCGTTACTTTCTGGGCGCAGGTCAAACTTGGCACAGTCGATTACCACTATGGTCTTGGGTACCGTGGGAAGTCGAGGGGGAAGTAGAGGGGAGAGGTCATTAAAGAGAGAGAGTTGGTTGGAGAGAGAGATGGTTGGAGAGAGAGATGGTTGGAGAGAGAGATGGTTGGAGAGAGAGATGGTTGGAGAGAGAGATGGTTGGAGAGAGAGATGGTTGGAGAGAGAGATGGTTGGAGAGAGAGATGGTTGGAGAGAGAGATGGTTGGAGAGAGAGATGGTTGGAGAGAGAGAGAGAGAGAGAGAGAGAGAGAGAGAGAGAGAGAGAGAGAGAGAGAGAGAGAGAGAGAGAGAGAGAGAGAGAGAGAGAGAGCCATTTATGACAAATAACTGCCCATTAAAATAGATTAGATAAGATTATCCAGAAATCAGAAATTAATGATCCATAGTGTTATCAACTCTGTGGTAAGATATTAATCAGAATTGTAAAAGGAGTAATATACTCTAATAAAGTTCGAAATGGATAAGAATGTAAAAATTTAGAGTTAAGACAAGATGTTAATATCCAATAAACTGATTGGCTCTGGTGTCAGCTGTTTTAGCGGCTCTCAGGTTCCCTTTCGTTGTTTTTTAAAACTAATCAATTTTTTTTTTCATATTTGGCTTCATTATACTAACATTATTCCTTCTCTAGTTCAAGTTGAGTCCTTCGGGATGCCATGGCACCTTGGATCACCGAGTTCCCCTGATCATCGGCTCCATCCCTCTGCGAGAACACTTCACCATGTTCCGGCCAGCAGGTCCTTCCCAGCCCCAGCCATTGCCATCAACCTCATACCCAACACCAATGCCACCCTCAGCTCCTCCTGCTGGTTTCAATGTGTCTCCATATAATCCCAATATCCCACCTACACAGCCTGGATATGTGGCTCCCACAGCTCCAGTATTTCCAGGGGTCCTGCATTATCCCGATTTGCGTGAGTACCTTTTAGTGGGAATGTGTCCACAGTTTAGGCAGGATATTTAGTTCAGTAACTAGCATACATGTAATGAGGATGCAAGTATTAAGTTACTTGTTATGAATACCATCAAAATTTTTAAAGATTTTTTTTTTTTTTTGATACAGTACAGCTGCCTCTTAGAAAATAGGATAAAAATAAAATCAATTTGATATGGTACAAAAAATAATATTCTCAGATTTTGGTGAAAGGTTATCAATGACTTATTTTCAACAGCTCCGCCATCGTATAACGAGTGCATGTTTGGGGCGACTGGCATTGCGGATGACAGTGATGATGAGAGTGGCGGCAAGTTTGCTCCAAAATATGCATCTTATAATCTTTCAATGGGTCTAGCAGTAGGTAAGTTTATCTGTCATCATAATTTCAATGCAGAAATTGATGTATAAAAGCTCATGGTGTATTAAAGCTCATTACAACATGGTAAAATAAGTTATTGTGCTTTTAAAAATTTTCTATCTTGCAGCTCCACCTCCATATAATGAATCAATGCTTCCTCCTGAAATGGCTGAGGGAAATGCAGGTGAGATTGTTGTTATGATTATAATCATTATTTTTATTTATAGGATTGTCATTACAATTTACATCATCATCATCATCATCATCATCATTATCTTTAGCTTTACCATTAATATCTTTATTAAATCTACTTATGTTTTTCCTCCTCACCATCTTTATCTTCATTATCATTGTAATTATTTCCATCATCATCATCATCATCATCATCATCATCATCATCATCATCATCATCACTATCATCATCACCATCACCATCATCATCATCATCATCATCATCATCATCATCATCATCATCATCATCATCATCATCATCATCATCATCATCATCATCATCATCATCATCATCATCATCATCATCATCATCATCATCATCATCATCATCATCATCATCATCATCATCATCATCATCATCATCATCATCATCATCATCATCATCATCATCATCATCATCATCATCATCATCATCATCATCATCATCATCATCATCATCATCATCATCATCATCATCATCATCATCATCATCATCATCATCATCATCATCATCATCATCATCATCATCATCATCATCATCATCATCATCATCATCATCATCATCATCATCATCATCATCATCATCATCATCATCATCATCATCATCATCATCATCATCATCATCATCATCATCATCATCATCATCATCATCATCATCATCATCATCATCATCATCATCATCATCATCATCATCATCCATCATCATCATCATCATCATCATCATCATCATCACTATCATCATCACCATCACCATCATAGTTATCATAGTTATCATTATTATATATCTATTTTTCTGACTGGTTATCTCTTTTATGCTATATTATTTCTATTTCATATGAAGTAAATACACCAGTATACATTCTAATACCATGTATCAGTATAATGCTTTGTTATAAGGCAGATGTCTTAAAAAAAAAAAAAGGTTGAATTAATGCTTGTCTTTGTGAACATTACAGTTTTTGCCCCAGGTGTCATGAGTGGACAACCATAAATAGTGAGATTTGGAGGTGAAGGCAACTTTTCATGTAGTTAAAGGCATGTGTAAGTTTTTTTTTTTCTTTCATTCTTTTTTGCTTTGCAACTTCAATTTACTAGCTAAATTTTGGACAGATGTCTCACTAGTATTTTATGAGAGGAGCTTGTGATAGACAGATGCCTAGACAGCTAAACAGAAAAGAGGACAAGTTCTTAATAAAACAAATAAAAGTAATTGTTACTCAGTTGTAGGTATAGTATTTCCAAAAATAATTCTTCTCATAAGTTCTCTCTGATATATTCAATAAAGGCATTAGAATATCAAACAGAAGGTAAATTGTGTATTTTTGCCAACAAACAGAGTATGAAAAAGAGATGAGATAGGAAAATGACAGTATTTTCATATTTACATTTTATTAATACCTTGGATAATTTCTAGTGATGTGTAGTGATAGGAAACATGCTAATTGTGTTAGTGATTAGACTATAAAGGAGATAAAGGAAAAGAAGTAATGTGACCACTCATACATATACTTATAATACACACACATTTATTTTGTGTGAATGAGAGAGAGAGAGAGAGAGAGAGAGAGAGAGAGAGAGAGAGAGAGAGAGAGAGAGAGAGAGAGAGAGAGAGAGAGAGAGAGAGAGAGAGAGAGAGAGAAAATGAGTGAAAGTGTGTGTATGAGTGAGAGAGTCCATCCATGATTTATACATATATTTATTAACATTACAGTTTCTTTCTGTTATCACTGTTGCAGACAAGAGGGAGAATTTGAAGATGGAGAGATATGAAAATTGGAGACAAGAATAAGAAGAAAAAGAAAACAAGGCATAAAACAGTGTCTGTCTTATGAGTTTAAATCTAGTCCATACAACTGAACCAAGTCCATGAGGGCAAGCGAGTAAGTTGCTTTTTCTGGACTTCTTACTTGTGTCTGTGCGAAAAACAACAAAGTGCCCCTGCTGGGAGTGTAGCCAGTTCACCAGGCAGTGACAAGCAGTGTTATCAATGGTCCTTAGACAGTATTCTTGCCAGTTGCATAGTAGCCATTGAATTTTAAACCGATCATGCTCAGGATACTTTTTATTGTGCTGTTATTGCCGTCAGTTGTATGGATAGGGTTCTAGATGTGTATTCTGTTTTTAGTTCTGACATTCCTCTATACAGCATTTTGGTCTTCTTACTGGCTGATCATGATATTAATTTTATGCATATGGATGATTTGTACTTTTTTACATTGACTGTAAATCTGAGAGAATGTTATAGTTATTGGATTTTTAAAATTAATTATTGAAAGGATAGTTTTTTTACATTTGTAATGATGAATATGCACACTTTGAAATAATATATTTCTTTGCTTTGGTGTATACAAAGTGATCCTCTGCAAGACTTTTCATGATTAAAAATAATGTAGAGATTATAGAAAATTTCTAGGTCTCTGGATTACATTATGTGTCAATTTGAGATTGATAACCATTATTGAGTGCCATGCACCCAACTGTTCACTAATAAACACAGGAGCAAGGCTAGAGATGAGTAAAGGTGCTTGTTTTAAAAATTTTCTTCTCTCCTCAAATAGTGGAGAAACATTAATCTATTAGCAACAAGCAGATTATATTTCTTTACCAGTACTAGACATATTTTCTTTAACACTGAAATTATATTTTAAAAAAATAGATATACATAAAGACTCTTAACCTATATTGGTTTCTGGTCAGATGTCAAAATATTACATAGTCTGTAGGCATCACTAGTGGATTTATTTTTTTTTTGTGATGTTAATATTTGATAACATGAATGAGTATTCTGTTTTATTCCTCTGATAACAGAAGTATAGGGGTTATCACACAAAAATAAGTTTTTTGTCCATTTTATATAACCTAGTATCAATTCGCTCATATATTGTGTATTTGCTATCACACTGGCCTGCCTGCTTCACTATATACATACATATATTTGTAAAGAACAGAAATGTCCCTTTCAAAGCTTTCATAGATCTGTCTACATTATAACAGGCCAAGAATTATGATACATATTTTGTATACTGTACATCCTCATTTTTTTTGTTTTTGTTTTTGTATGTATAAAGTTTTGCAGAAGTTAGGCAAGTAAAGCTTAGATCTGGCTCCCCAAGTTCCCAAGATACTGCCCCTAGGCCAGGTCTGAAGAGTATTACTGTCTTTACTGTACTACTGTCTTTTATTATAATCTTGATGATAATATGAGAAACACTGTATGTCAGGACCTACCCATTTATATGATGAATTATATTTTGATAAGAAAAAAAGATAACAATCACAGTTTTTAAAATATAAGCACCATACTTTTGCACTTGACTTAAAAAAAAAAAAAAAAATACAAAGTGACTCATTGGACATTTTTGTGGATGTGCTCTGATCTACAGATTTACAGAAATTACATGATTGGCATGTAGATTGTACATGTAATAATGTCATAGATATTTATGGAGTTTACAGAGTTTACCAGCTGAATATTATGTAGGTTTGTGATTATTTTTTCAAGTTTTGTCTTTTCTTTTCAATTTGTGATTTTTTTTGTTGTATTATTATTAATATTATTCTTTTTTTTTTGCATTGGCCATCTAATCATGTTATGCATTCACTATATATTTTTTGTTTTAAACTTGCATGTAATACTCATCATCAAGTTGGTTTTACATATGCTATGTATAGATTAATATTTCCCATTATTATTAGTAGTAAATTAACACAATTATTTCTTCCCTGATCTTTTCAACAAATATATACCAATCTACCTCAACTATGTGGACCAACACATTATAATATTCACATTAACAACTTTACAGAGTTCTGATACGTACAATATTTTTGAGGAAAAAAAATCTAGCTGGCTGTATAGACAATACTGATTTTGTCATAAAGTGGCTTCAAAAGGAATTTGTGGTGGCAGTTATTGATTAGTTTATTTGATAAACAATTATGCAACAGAGTTTGTTGTAATACAAAAGAAAACTTACAATTTTTGAATATTTATAATATAATTACACCAAAATGTACTAGATGGTTAACTCTCAAAATGTCTCAAAGTTTAGTATGAACACTTTTAAAGTTGTTACTCAATTTGTAAACATGAATTGTAAACCCATGCTATATAAGTGCATTACGAAGTGTCTTAAAGATAACCAAATTCCATCCTAGCTGCCACATGTATATTACTCCTTTGTTTTTGTATAGGGTACAAAAAAAAAAGGTTCTATTTCACATAGATGATGAGTCATGTAGAAATTAGGGTAAATGTCTTGTAAGTACAAAGCTACCAATTTGCAGAAACCTACCCTACTTCCCATACCTCAAATGCCAAATTATGCAAAAATTGTACAGTAGACAAAAATAATGCAAAAGATCAATAGGTTAAATACGTTTTGTTACTATTGACACTATCTATTAGGGTAGATATATTCATTTTTTCTATAATTAAGAAGATTTTTGTAACAGTCATAATGACTAGCTGTATGCATAGAGATGTAGTTATTTCAGAAAATTGTAGTTATTTTACTAAAACTACGTTAGAGACAGTTCTCTCTTCTTTTCCTATTTTTCCCTTCTAACCTATTCATTTATTTACTTACATATTTCTCATCTCACTGACTGCTTTATGTTTTATATAGTATATAAAGAGCATTTGTATCAGAATTATGTTGTCAGCCAGGCCTTGACTGAATATGTAGCTTTCATATGTTCACTGCCAGTTGTAGCTGATTGCTGATTGATTGATAGATATTTCTGGTACAACTGTTTGATAGCATTATTGTATATTATGAAAGAAAAACTCGTTGTAAACAGATGAAATGCATCTGATATGTAAATTTTATTCAGATATATATTCCAGATCTAACAGTATTTGTCATCATGAAATAGTATATATTGTTTAAATTGTGTAATAATTGCATAACATTTCATTTTCATAGAAATAAACTTAGTAAATTTTGCGGTCCAGTGAGAAAAATATTTTAAATATTTGATTTTAATATGAACAATACTTAGTTTTTACTCTGGGAGTTGTTATTTGAAAGATACTCTGAATAAAAGTGCATGCATAGTATTTTACTATGTGCAGTGTTTATGAGACTATAATTGGTCACTTTTATTCATAATTTAAGTTTAGTGATACTCATTAAAATATATTTTGAAATTATATACATTACTGACAGGAATAGTATAATATATTTTCTGTCTCTATATGTGTAATGTAAAGTATAAATAAAAAGTTTGATGTATTTAGTTTTGTGTGCAATGTCACTGGGACTGTGGAAGTGTGAATGCAGTAAAAATTATTTTTTAATGCATTTGTATTATTAATATATAATGCATTTATAATTCATCTAAGTTTCATTTTATATGTTTTATAAACTGAAGTGCATTCAATTTGAGGATTATAAAGACAAAATATAATTTATACTAAGATTACACAGGTTTTTTTAATTAATGTCACAGTATTCAGTATTCTGATAAACAGCATATTCTATAAATTTATTTTTTTTTAATCCTTTTTTGAGTTATATCTAAATTTGTTCCTAAACACTGTAGTATCAGTTGATTACTCATATTTTTTTTTCATTTGAAGATGTAAAAGGTGATAGAAGATGGTCGGGGTAGTATTCATTTATTTCTTAATTTCTAGCCATATTTACTTAATATAGGGAGAAATTTGCCAAGAGAGCATTTAGGGTTGTGGTATCCACCTCCCTTTTTCAATACCACTGCAGAGTGTGCTGTGTTTATTGATCAAATGCAATTGTTTCTCAGGTATAATTGTTTGTCTATCCAGGTTTCTAATTTCTCTTATTGTAAATCTATTTTAACACTATTTGTATTTGATTGTAGTGGTCATTTCCATTTATATGGATTTGTAATTATTTTAGTGCATTTCGTACTCCTTTCACCTGGTGATATCTTGTGGGTAAATAAATATACTGTTGTGTGTTTAAAATGTGATTTATTTCTCCTGTGCAAAGATATATAGTATGTATTTTTCTTTATGTATACAATTACTCATGAAATGAAACTCAAAATGACACCATAATCCTCAGGATATTATGGTTGTCTTATTGGGAACTGCTGCTAATAATCTCCCAGGAGGGTAATCACCCCCTTCCAGAAGCTGGAAATGTGTATAACATTTCTTGGGTGTAGTAGGATAATACCATTGCTCAAAATACGCAAAAAAAATCATAAAAAACTAATCTATGCCCCTAGTCATCGAATTTCAAATTTTCTATTCTCTTAGGTACATGATTTCGAGTAAGGCAAATTAAAAAAAAAAAAATCTTTACATATCTCTTTATCATTTCAAAATAAAGAAAATTGTCAGAAGGCAGTTTAGTCGCATATGAGTACTCTCCAATATAGAATGAGCTTTGAAACCAAATAATTTGCACCTTTGCTTCAAAAGATAATATGAAAAAAATTATTTATAATTTGGTGATTTTTCTTAATTATTTTTACTGTTATTTGCAGTAGCTGGTTATTGTGTATACCATAGTGTATTTTTCATAATTGTATTTAGAATGATTCAGCAACTGCTAATATAGCTAAAACAGGATAATAATTGACGTGAATGATTTTAAGAACCTTTTCATTGAAAAAAAAAAAAAAAAAGATGGAAGAGGATGGTTTGCTAACACCAGACACCTGGGGTATGGAGCCCCACTTTACCTGCCATATTTCAAATGCAAAAATGCTCTAACAATTGATTTACCCAATGTTTTTCTTTGGGGTTTTCTTTTATTTTTTCTTACATATTGTCACAAATCCAGTTGTGTTTGGTATACAGAGGTACCTTGGTTATATTTTAAGTCATATCTAAGGGTAATGTTGCGATAAAATGCTGTTGGATCCATTAGAATGAACAAGTATATGAAAAAGATTGAAAATCATGACAGTTGCCATCTATGATTATAAGTAAGGTCTCATTTTGATATATTCGCTCTTTCAGGATTGTGTCATTGGTACTTTTCTCAGATTCTGGAGGTTCATCACTACCCTGGCTGTCACATCAGTGTTTGCCTCGCAGTGTAATTATCTTGCTAGATTCATTCATTCATTTGAGATTTGTGAAGTCTAGCCTTGTCTGGGCCTTCCGTATACCTGGCCCGGCCTGTGTCAGCTATTTATGGCTGTCTCAATTGATTCTCTGACGCCCGATGCTTACCGTGGTGGCCGGGTTGTCAGCTCCTGCTGTCACAATGTAAGCATACGGCATAATTTCTTTACCAGCTTGGCGACTGTTGTGGGGGGTCCCTATCTCAAATATTGTGTGTGTTCACAAGTCTGTGAATAATGTAACAGGGTGGCATTCGGCTTGCCGCAATGCGTGCAACACCTGTCGGCATAGTCAAGTGTCTGTATGATCTGCTATGTGCAGTGGTAAACTAGTCTGTGAAGAATTACTTTGGCACCTCTATTGATTGTTTCAGAGAGTGACAGTGGCTCACAGCCTGTGGCGTCTGAGTACCATCTGGCCGAGGGGGAGGTTCTCGTTGACTCTCTGTGAAACTGCAGGGGAATGGCAAGTGCTGTGGTGTTGGACTTGTGCCTCAAGATTCATTGGCTTGGCTACATTGTCAACTGTTTGTGGGATTTGCTATGCGCAGTGTCTGCGAAGAATGATTTTGGCACCTCTATTGATTGTTTCAGAGAGTGACAGTGGCTCATAGCCTGTGGCGTCGGAGTACCATCTTGCCGAGGGGGAGGTTTCGTTTCCTCCCTGTGAAGCTGCAGGGGAATGGCAAGTGCTGTGGCGTTGGACCTGTGCCTCAAGATTTATCGGCTTTTAATAAACATTGGCTTTGGGGGCATACCCCTGCCAATGTCAGTTAGTTTGTCAGAAGATCATTCCCTCTGATGCCTATGTGGCTGAGGGCCCAGTTTATGAATCCTCTGCGCTATGGTAAGTACAGTGGTCAGTAGGTAGATATTATGAGGTATGCTGTACCGTAAACTGTAAATGACTGCCCTGGGATCTGTGTGGAAGACAATGTGTCCTTCCCTCAGGGATGCGTGGGCTAGGGTTCCATTATTGCTACTGCCTCTGCGATAAGACGTCTGTTACCCTCATGGATTTTGTGACATCCCTTGCTGCCTATCCATTCATGAAGTAGGTTCAATTACCCGAAGGAATGATTGCTGTAATAACCCTCTCGGCTTCTGCCTTCAGACTAGGCGTGAGGTATTAGTTCTTGACAAGCTCATGACAGAGAACTCAATTAAGGTTTGCGCCCACGGCGGGGCTTCAATAAAGTCAGGGTGGGGGGTCCATGCAAGTAATTGCTCTTTGAGCTGATAACGCATCAACACTGTGTGTGACAACCGGGAGTTGTTTGCAAAGAGCTCATGATCTTGTTCTAGACGTATGTCTTGAGTATATTTTGTCTTATGCTTGTGTTCCTGGGTGCCAGGATGTCCCTTGAAAGGGACTGTGCTCCCATTAGATCAATTCGGTAGTCCAGGGGGGTGAAGGTTTGCCTCCATGAGGAGGTTGAGGACCTTCGTCCACCTTGGGGCACCCAGAACGATCCTGGCAGCTTCATTTTGAACTGACTCCGTTTTTTCTCTTAGTCTTGACTTGGTGGCAATCAGGGCGACAGAAGCATAGTCCACAATAGGACGGACGGCATGAACACAGATTGATCTTAGTACTTTATGTCCAGCTCCAGTGAGTCTCCCAGTCATTGCTATCATGACGGACAGCCTTGCTTTATTTCGATCAACCAGGTACTGGACCTCCATTTGGGAGGACAGGGTCTAGTCAATCCTCACCCCAAGGTATTGGAAGACCTGAACCCATTCTAGGTCCATTCCCTGGACACGCAGACTTGTGCCTTGAACATTGGTTGTAGAGATCTTTAGTCCTGTCTGGGAGGTGTATGTTGAGGATACAGGACATTAGGGTTGTACTGAGGAACCCACCCTGTGGTATTCCATTTTCAATTGGCATGTGCTGTGATAGGTGACCTTGGAATCTGACTTCGACTGTTCTGTTCCTGAAATAGTCACCTATCCAGGCCAGCTTTCTTCTGATTCCCTTCTGGATCAGGGTCTCCTGAATAGCAAGAGGACTTGCTAATTCAAAAGCCTTCTCCAGGTCTAGAAATACTACCACAGATGTCACAATGCTGGTTGTGCTTAAGAGCATAGCTATGCTGTGTGCTGTATTCATGTCCCCTGTGAACCCATTTTCCATTGGAGCCGGTTTAGTACCATCCTCTCGATCGTCTTGCCCAGACAGCTGAGAGAGATCGGGCGATACCTCCCTGGTTCCTTTGGTTTTGGGATGGGAACTATGTCAGCCCTCTTCCCAGGACTTGTTGATTAGTTGCAGGAATGCAAGCTCATCAGCCAGTCCTAGGTGAGAGATGATAGGCTAGGAGATCTCATCACAGCACGAGGCTGAGCGAGAACTGTTTTTCTGTTTTTCATAGTTCCCTCAGCTGCCCTCTCTCTTAGATGAGCAAGCCTGTCTGGTTGTAGGCGTTCTTGGTTTGCTCTGAATTCGGCTGGCAGATTGTTGTTGTTTGTTTTCGCAGAGAACTCCTGCACCAGCCTGTTTGCCTCTGACTGAGGGTCGTGGTGTGTGCACCACTGGTAGTTTGCCTGACCCGTTGCCACAGCTCTGTGAGGATGGTCCGGTGGCCAAAGGACTCGCACCATTTCAGCCACTTTTCCTGCCTAATTCTGTTGACAGTCTCTTTGACATCCATGACAACTTCCCTTATGAGGGCTAAGAGGTTCACTCTGTGGTTGATTTCCTTAATCTCGTCATTAAAGTAGCACGCGTCCTTGTAAATTCTGGACCAAGGCTGAGTTTTGGCTATGGTCTGTGGGGCTGCTTGATTTATGGCACTGATAAGTCTGGCTTCAAACACATCCACATTTTCACTCTGTGGGGAATCATTGCATCTAAGGCAGTGGGCTAAGGCATTCTGAGAGGCTTGTCTGTTTTCCATCTAGGATTGTCCTGTGGTATTGGAGCCAGACCAGCATCTAAGAGGGTGGTAACAGTGCCACAGTGGTCACTTGTGACAGTCTCATCGACACATCATCTGATACTCTTTATCAGAGCCGTAATGGCTAAGGTGAGGTCTAGGACCTCTCCTTTGCGTTGGCTCTTGGGTATTGCGAAGAGCAATCTCGGGGAATGTTTCAAGCACACTGGCTGTGATAGCCTACCGCATCTGGTCCCCTGGAGGGAGTCAGGATGGGGTAGTCCCCCCATATAATCACTCGGTCTTGTGCTGCAGTAGCAGGCCTACAGAATGGCCTGCTGTACACATTGTACATCTTGCCAGCTGAATCTCAACAGCAAGAGGTTCAACATCGTCTCCACAGTACGGTGCATCGGGTATTGCGGAGCAGGGGATTGTTGTTCTGACCAGGGTGATCAAGCCTCTGGTGCCAGCTGTGCTTGGCAACATGAAGACATTATACCCTGAGCAGCGAACAGTCCCCTTTGTTAATGTCTCTTGGAGCATGACAAAGTCAATGTTCCTTGATGGCACTATTGCGTAGAGGATGGCATTTCTTGTATTGGAGCCATTGATGCTCCGCTGCCATATGCTTAGATTGTGTGTCATGATGTTACTTAATGTTAGTTACATCTGAGATATCTTTATATTCAGGTTCAGAGTTAGTTTCCCCATCAATGGTGGTATATGACATGTCAGAGTCTGATAACTCCATTGCGAAGTCCTCGCTGACTGAGGGATCTTCATCTGTTTTTGGGCTGTTTGTCAGGCTATCTATGGATCCACTGGGAGGTGGAGAGACTTTGGTAGCTCTGAGTTTTGTTGGCTGGGCTTTTCTCTTTTCAGACTTTGTATGTGTTTTTTTCCTTTGCTGGTTTTACCTGAATAAGCTTAGTCTGCACAGATTCAGCCTGTTTTGGCTCTGCCTGTGAGGGCTTGGGCAGGATTGGAGTAGGGGGTTTGGCTC